GCAGGGTGACAGCGGGTGGCAGGGTGACGGCGGGCGAGGAGGGTGATGGCGGGTGAGGAGGGTGACGGCGGGTGGCAGGGTGACAGCGGGTGGCAGGGTGATGGCAGGTGAGGAGGGTGACGGCGGATGAGGAGGGTGATGGCGGGTGGCAGGGTGACGGCAGATGAGGAGGAGGATGGCGGGCGGCAGGGTGGTCACGGGCTGCTCTCTCCCGCAGCATCACCCCAAGGAGAAGGCTGAGGCTGTCCCCAGACGCCCTGACTCCGAGCCCCTCTGGCTCCCAGCTGTTGGCTCCCGCGGGAACGCCCACGCCCACAGGTCAGCACCAGCCCCTCTGCGCAGCCCCCGCCCCCCAGCCAGCGCCCCACTGACCCGCTCTCTCTGTCCCAGGTGGCGCGCTGGAGCCCTCGCTCAGCCCCCAGGCCTGCAGCAGCAGCAGCAGCGAGGGCAGGTACCTGGAGGGGTGGGAGCGGGGAACAGGCAGCGTCACTGTCTGGGGGCGTCCCAGGCAGGCTGGGGGGCAGAGCAGAGGCCCCGCTGTGTCTGTCCCAGGGGAGGGTTATTATGGGTCACCTGCAACAAGCCAGCGCCTGGGGCTGAGACCCTGTTGGAGCAGTGGGCCGGGGGGGGGGGGATGTCCCCACGGGGGCCCCAGCCCCTGCTGCCCATGGGTCCCCCTGCAGTACGTGCCAGGCCGCTCGCACTCCCAGCACCCGCTGCTCAGGGGCTGCCCGGCCTCTGCCAGGCCTGGGGGGCTGCTCCGCTGCCTCGCGGTGCCACTGCTCCCCCCATGCAGCACAGCCCGCGCCAGCCTGGCTCTTCCCTGCCCCACGGGGAGCTCTGCTGCCAGCCTGCCGCACCGACCAGCCTCTGTGCCACACCCGTCCATGCGCCCCCCACGCCCACAGATCCTCTGCACCAGCCCGCCCCCCCGAGCGATTTTACTGTATGTACTGGGGTGCTAGCCCCCCCACAGTGTGCCCCATAGCCCCCCACTGCTCCCCAGAGCCCCCCACCGTGTTCCTCCTAGCCCCCCATAGTGCTCCCCATAGTCCCCACAGTGCACCCCATAGCCCTCCCCACTGCTCCCCAGAGCCCCCACACCGTGTTCCTCCTAGCCCCCCATAGTGCTCCCCAAAGTCCCCACAGTGCACCCCATAGCCCCCCCCCACTGATCCCCAGAGCCCCCCGGCACATGCAGTGCTCCCCCTAGCTCCATTGGCACACGCAGTGCACCCCATAGCCCCCACACACACACTGTCTGTGTGTCTGGCCGGGAGGCTGCTGCCCACTGGGGCCGCTCTGACCCCCTGGCTCTGGTTTCTCTTCTCAGCTGCAGTCAGATGCCCTCGCGTTGCAGCCTGCCCCGCTCCGTGAGTACCCGGGCTGTGTCCGAGGGGCTGGGAAGGGACCGTGCAGGGCATGGGCAGGGCCTGTGGGTCGCTGTCCTATCCCCCACCCCTGGGCTCGAGGGCACGAACACGGCCATTCTGCAGCCCCGGTACCCTGCCCTGGCACTGCCGGGCACACTCTGCACCCCACTGGGTCGGGCCCTTCCACGTCCCCAGACGTGCCCCTGTGGGCTGGCCAGTGCCTGCTCGTTCCCAGCCCCGAGGGGCGGGCACCGGGCCCCTTCAGAGCGTGCCTGGTGGGGAAGGAACCAGCCTTTCCTCCCCCCCCATCTGGCTCTTCTAGGCCAGGGCTCACTAGGGACTCGGGGGGTGAGGTGGGGGCGGCGTGATGGGCAGTACTGAAGCACGGGTGAGGCTGGCATCGCTGGCATGGATTTATAGAGCCCTGCCTGGCACCGGTCCCAGCGCACTCGAGTTACAGCGAGACAGCGGCATGCACAAAGCCACAGGGCTGCGGCATCGGGCTAAGAACAGGGGCAGGATGGACGGGGCTGTCTCTGCAGGCCTGGCCCCTCTGCCCCATGACTGCTCCCTGCCTGGTACCCCGCCACACGCACCCCGCCCTGCACCCGCTCCATGCTCGGCCCAGCTCTGCACCCACTCTGCCTGGCCCTGCCCCCGCTCCGTGCCCGGCCCTGCACCCGCTCTGCCTGGCCCTGCCCCCGCTCCATCCCCGGCCCCGCCCTGCACCGTCTCTGTGCCCGCCCCGCCCTGCACCCGCCTCTGTGCCTGGCCCCGCTCTGCCCCCGCTCTGTGCTCGGCCCTGCTCTGCACCTGCTCTGCCCGGCCCCGCCCTGCACCCGCTCCACCCGGCCCTGTTCTGCACCCGCTCCGTGCCCGGCCTCATCTTGCACCCGCTCTGCCTGGCCCCGCCCTGCACCCGCTCTGCCCTGTCCTGCTTTGCACCCGCTTCGTGCCTGGCCATGCCCTGCACCCGCTCCGTGCCCAGCCCTGCCCCCGCTCTGTACCCTGCCCTGCACCCACCCGGCCCCGGCCCCGGCCTGCACCCGCTCTGCTCCATGCCCGGCCCCGCCCTGCCTGGCCCTGCCCCCGCTCCGTGCCCGGCCCTGCCCTGCCCCACTCTGTGCCCGGCCCCGCCCTGCCCCTGCTCCATGCCCGGCCCCGTCCTGCCCCCGCTCCATGCCCCGCCCCACCCTGCCCCGCTCCGTGCCCGGCTCCGCCCTGCCCCGCTCCACCTGCCTCCTGCTCTGACACCAGCACGTTTTCCTTCCCCACTCACCCCCTGTCCTGGGCAGCCTTGTCATGGCTCCCTCCCTTCTGCCCTCCCCCCAGAGCAAGCGCCTGCGCGGAGCCCGCCAGGGACCAGGGGAAGGAAGTGCCAAGGGGAGTGAGGGCAGTGCTTTCTGATCTGCCCACGGGGTTATTTGGGGAGCACGACGTGTGCTGGGGACAGACTGAGCTGGGAGGCTGGGGCGTTTGGGGTCACCCCCTGCCCTGCAGCTCTGGGTGCCTGCACTGCCACGCCGCGGGGGCTCACAGCCCGGCACCAGCACACCAGTTACTGTTCACAGGGTGACCCCCACGCCCCACAGTCCCGAATCGCCCCCAAACCGTCTGCCCTCCCCTGGGCCCCTCACAGCCTGTGGGGTTTGCTGCCCCCAACAGCAGCTGGTCGATTTCCCCTGGGGTTTGACTCTTCCAGGCACAGCGCTGGGCTGGGGATTCGTAAAGGTCAAACCTCGGAGGTCTGAGTGCCACCAAGGCAGCCGAGGCTGCGCCCAAACATGTGCACCCACCCGTGCCCCCCTGTGGGAGCCTTACCAGGGGCTGGAGCTGCAGCCTGCCCGGGGAGCAGGGACGTCCGGCGCTTGCAGACAGGGCCCCACCTGGGTCAGGCAGGGCTCAGGCGCCGAGAGATGGAGCCGGTCGCTTTGCCCTGCTTGCGCGTGGGCTCACGGCAAGTCCCGCGCCAGGCTGGCCAGGGGCAGGGGGAGGCATGGCCAGAGGGAAGCCAGACGGCGTGACGCTGCCGGTGCTGGTTTTGCCTCTCTCCCCCGTCCCTGTGTCTCTGACACTCCGGCTTCCCCTCGTCCCCTCTCCCAGGGCAGCTCTGGCCTCTCTCCTGCTCCAGCCCCTGGGACGGACGGCGAGATCCTGACTGGGGATTTTTCCAGGGTGAGTGGATCGTACCCGTCCCATGAGCTCGCCACCCCCCAGCCCAATCGCTCCGCAAGGGCCCATCACCCTGGGCAGTGACCGAAATCCTCGCTCCCCTGCCCAGAGCCCAGGCCCCCGCCCGTCCTCCCCGTCCCAGGAGGGTGCCAGCTGCCCCTCCAGCGCCATACGGTGAACATGCCTGCCCCAGGGGCCAGTCTGTGACTAAGGGCAGGTCTTCACTACAGGGGGGGAGTCGATTTAAGATACACAAATTCAGCAACGCGAATAGCATAGCTGAATTCGACGTATCGCAGCCGACTTACCCCACTGTGAGGACGGCGGCAAAATCGGCCTCCGCAGCTCCCCGTTGACGGCACTTACTCCCACCTCCGCTGGTGGAGTAAGAGCGTCGATTCGGGGATCGATTGTCACGTCCCGACGAGACGCGATAATTCGATCCCCGAGAGATCGATTTCTACCTGCTGATTCAGGCGGGTAGTGTAGACCCAGCCTCAGGTGAACGCCTCACCTCTTGGCTCCAGGGAAGGTAGGATGTGTGTGCGTGTGGGGGAAGGGGACATCCTGCTCCAAGGAGGGCAGAGCATGTGGGGGGGGGGGCATCCCACTCCAGGGAGCACAGGGCGTGTGTGTGGTGGCAGACAGGGGATACATATGTCCTTCCCAAGAGGGAGAGCAGGGATATCCCTTCAGCTCTGTTTTTGTGCCAATGCCTGTCTCTGTTGGTGCCCCCAGCCCTGCTCTCTGCCGCTGGAGGATGGCCAGCACCGGGATCTGCGTTACGTCAGCCCCGCCACAGTAAGTGTGAAATGCGCCCACTGCTGCGTAACAGCGCGCACGGACCCCATGCTTCTAAAACAACTCTTATTAAGAACTGCAGCGCGATGCAGCAGCCACAGCTGACATTCCAGCCATGTGCACACAGACCGATGGCTGTCTGGGTGTGCCGGCTGTCCAGCTCTGCTCCGCTGCTGTCTCGGTTTGCTCTCCACCACTGTCCTCCGTCTGCAGCTACGCACGTGCCCAGCGTCCCGGAGCAGCTTGTAGCATTGCCCTTTGCCTCTGCTGTGTGTGGCTACTGACGGCTGGACCCCACTCTGCTCCCCTGTACGTAGGGGACTCGGCTCCTTGGCTCCTCTGTCACAGCGGCTGCGCTGCCTGCCTGCGTGGCGTTGTCTGAACTGCTTCCCTCCTGCGCACTGTCCCTCCACTGGGCTACAGCAGCCGGCCCGTCCGGGGAAGCAAGTCCAGCTCTCTGACTCCTTCGCTTTGCTGGGGTCCCTGGGAGTGACACTGCTGTGATCCAGCATTGCCCTCCCTGTCTGCTCGGCCTTCGCCATCGCTCCCCGGGCTGCGGGCACTGCCAGGGCTCCTTCCCATTGCTGGGTGGGTACCTGCTTTGGATTCTGCTGCAGTGAGCTGCAGTCCGGACGCAGGGCTGGTGCAACCTATTAGGCGACCTAGGCGGTCACCTAGGCCACTAGCATTTGGGGGGCAGTATTTTCTTCGTCGTCGGCATTTAGGCGGAGGGAGCTGGGGCAGGGGGGCGTGGGGAGGGCCGCCTGCAGCATGTGGGGGGGAGGGGCGGCACGCAGGAGAACTCCCCGCCCCAGCTCATCTCTGCTCCGCCTCCTCCCCTGAGCACGCCGCCCCGCTCTGCTTCTCTCCCTCCCAGGCTTGCGACGCCAAACAGCTGATTGGCACCACAAGCCTGGGAGGTGGGAGAAGTGGAGCGGCGATGACGTGCTCGGGGAG